GCACTTTCCACAACTCCAGTCATTGTTAAGCTGTGCATGACCCACCGGGGGAGGTGGAGTTAAAAATGCAGATTCCGGGGCCCTGCTCTGGAGATTCCGATCGGCAGGAATGAGGTGGGGCTCAGGAATCTGCTTTTTTAAACAAGCTTTTCAGGTGTTTCTGGCGCAAGGGGTCTGAGGACTACACTTTGAGATGTCCTGATCTGCACCAGACCCCCGCACACTCAGGGGGAGGGGTGGGTTGGAGTTAGATCTCTCTTGGTGCCTGCTTCAGCCTCTCAGCTCCTGGTTGCTGAGTTGAAGGGTGTGGCCCCGGGGGGCTGGGAGGGGCAGAGAAGGGGTACCCTCTGTGTTTCCTCAGCCCCTACGGGTTTGGGCCTCTCTGCACAGGTCTGGCCCCAGTAACTACTATGAACTGTTGGGGGTGCACCCGGGTGCCAGCGCTGAAGAAGTTAAACGAGCTTTCTTCTCCAAGTCCAAAGAGGTACCAGTGGTCCCAGGTGGGGAGAGGAGCGGGAAGTCTGAGCCAGATGGGGCACACTCCAGCTTCCCAGGAATGGAGCAGGGTGGCTCATTCAGATGGATGCCACATTCCTTCAGCATGCATAGGGAGGGGGAGGCGCCCCAAGGACAGAGGTCTGCCAGGGGGGAGGACAGGTTGGGGGGGGGGCAGGGGCCCTGTCTGATGGCCTGGGCTTGGTTCTCTTGACTTGCCTGCTCTTAAGAAAGCCTGGACCAGGGCACATAGTGAGAGCCAGAAAGCAGGTGGGGAGGGCTTGCACAAGGGGAGGGGGCAGGAGTCTGTGCTTCCTGACTCTCTGGCCTTCTGGAAGGGTGGGCAGGCCTGAGAGTGAGGGTCCCTGCCCAGGTGGGGCTTCTGAGAATGATTTGAGCCCTTGTGGGTGCACATTACTGGGATGGGGCCTGGGAAGGGGCACAGAAAGGGAGATGAGGGGAGTCCTGCCCCACCCAGCTGCACCCTGACCGGGACCCCGGGAACCCATCCCTGCACTGCCGCTTTGTGGAGCTGAGCGAGGCATACCAGGTGCTCAGCCGCGAGCAGAGCCGCCGCAGCTACGACCACCAGCTCCGCTCAGCAACTCCCACAAAGTCTCCAGGAGCCACAGCCCATCCCAGGTCTGCTCATCAAGCACACAGGTACAGGAGTCCTGCCCCCTTCTTGCCCCTCTATGTCTCCTTGGGAGTGTCATCCCCACCCTGTCCTTTCTTCTCCCTCCCAGCAGCTCCTGGGCACCCCCCAATGCACAATACTGGGCCCAGTTTCATGGCGTGAGGCCTCAGGGACCAGAGTTGAGGCAGCAGCAGCGGAAACACAACCAGCGCGTGCTGGGGTACTGCCTCCTGATCATGCTGGCAGGCATGGGCCTGCACTACGCTGCCTTCAGGTGCGTCCTTGCCTTCCCCTGGGGTGTTGGGGGGAGGGATATGGGTGAGGGAGCCCAGGGCGGTCAGCTGTCCATCCACACCACCCCTGTGGCCCACACTCTCTCGTCTTGTGTCTCTCCGGAGCCTCTCCCTTGGCACAGGCAGCTCTGCACTGAGGGCTAATGTCATTTTCCGTTTTTTATAATTAGAATGTAAATCTTTGCTGTTGGCTGCCAGGGAGTGCTGGAGCCACCCAAAATCACGCACAAGAAGGAAGTGCGTTGGGAAGAGGCCTCACCAGCACTGTCCTCACTCAGTTGTCTCCCCGCCACTCTCATGCACGCATGACACAGGTTCTACAGCAAAGATGCCTAAAGGCCCGTGCCCACTGTTGGCAGCCGGCCTCGTTCAGTGGTTGCGTGAGATGTACAGCCCTTTCTAGTCTCCTGTGAGGACCACCCTGGTGCTCAGAGCAGCTGTCACCACTGTCAGCAGGACAGCCAGGGACCTGGGTGGCCACTGGACCCTGGACAGGCGCCGGCCACTCTGTGCCCCCCTCCCCACCCAGCACAGGCAGTTAGGCTGAGGTCCCCACAGATGCAAAGCTGTAAGACCCTAGAGTGGGGTGGAGGGGGTGGGACTTGGGGACAGCAGGGATTGGGGGCTCCAGGGTTAACGGTAATCCCCTTGCAGGAAGCTGGAGCAGGTGCACCGTAGCTTCATGGATGAAAAGGATCGGATCATCACGGCCATCTACAATGACACGCGGGCCCGGGCCAGGTCTGTCCCTGCTCTGTCCTGCCCTCTCTCCACCGTCCTGGCACCACCCTCCAGGGTCCCTGTCCCGACCACCCGGCTGCTCTCTCCTGCAGGGCCAACAGAGCCAGGCTCCAGCAGGAGTACCGGCAGAGGCAGCAGCTGCAGCCGCCACCTGGGCCTCCCCCAGGCCCGGGGATCGCGCCCCCGAGCACCAGCCCCTGAGGCGCATCCCTGGATGGGACCTCCTGGGCGTCCCCTCCCGGGACTCCCGACTCCCCGAAATGCGTGCAATAAAATGATTCTCAGAGCCCGTGTCCGCCTCCCTCCTTCAGGTCCAGCGCCCCCCGCCCGGGCCTCTCCGCCGGACGCGCCCCGCCCTCCGGGATCTGGCGGCAGCGACCCAGGAGCCCAGCCCCCTGGGCGGCGCGTCCCCTTTCCCCCGCTGCCGCGGGAGGGGGTGTGTGGAGGGGGCGGGCCCCGGCGGCGGCCTCGCCCCCCCTCCCCCGCCCCGCGGCCGGGTGGGGAGCGCGTGTCTGGGTCACATGAGCCGCCCGCCCGCCAGCCCGGGCCCGGCCCCCCACCGCCCCGCCGTCCCGCCGTCCCCGCCGCCGCCGCCCGCCGCCGCCAGCGGCCGCCCGCCCGCCCGGCTCCTCCGGCCGCCGCCGCTGCGCTGCGCTGCGCTGCCTGCGCCCAGGGCTCGGGAGGGGGCCGCGGAGGAGCCGCCCCCCGCGCCCGGCCCCCGCCCGCCGCGCCCGGGCCCGCGCCATGGGGCTCTGGCTGCCGCCGCCCCCCGCGCCGCCCGGCTAGGGCGATGCGGGCGCCCCCGGCGCGCGGCCCCCGCGGGCACCATGAGCCCCCTGCTCCGCCGGCTGCTGCTCGCCGCGCTGCTGCAGCTGGCCCCCGCCCAGGTACGTGCGTCCCCGCCCGCCCGCCAGCCGTGCCCTCTCTCAAGGTTGGCGGAAGTGGGGAGGCGCGGGGCCGCCGCGGCCGGGGAACCCGTGGGGTCTGGCCGCGCGCTGGGGCGTCGCGGGGACCTGGCCCGGGCATCCCACGGGAGGTGTCCTTCTCCGCCGGCCGCCAGCCCAGCCCCAGGGCCACTCCCCCGCCCCACCCCGTCCCCTGGGCGCAGCCGGGGGCGGGGCCGCGTTGGTGCCCGCAGGACCTGGTTTGGCTCCCACTGTGCCCCCTGCCGATTGCGGCCCCCTCCAGGGTGGGAGAGTGATGCCACCCGCAGAGCGCGCCTGGCCGATCGGTGCTAGGGCAGGTCCCAGGTGGCCAGGAGAGGACAAGTAAAGCTGGAGCGGCCTCAGGAACACAGCAGTCTGGAAAAATGTCAGAGAGGAGGTGAAGCGTCCTGACCCAAGGGCAGCGCCCCAGGGACAGCGACTGGGACAGCCCCTTCCTGGGATGCACCTTGGGTCCAGGTCTCTTCTCTCCCACAGGCCCCAGTCTCTCAGCCTGATGCCGCTGGCCACCAGAAGAAAGGTAATAGCAACAAGAACTCTGCACTAGCCAGCACTGAGAGCGCCGGTCCCTGCCCTGATCCCAGGCTCCTGTGTCCTTCCACTGTGTAATCGCAGCTGCTCTGTAAGATGCAAGCTCTGATCCTGCCCATTTCACAGCAGAGGACATGGAGGCAGTGGGGTTCCTGGGTTCTGGATGAACAGGGCAGCGGAGGACAGATTGGGAGGGCAGAGGGGGCGGGTGGAGGGGGCTGTGACAGGGGAACTAGGGAGAGCAGCTGCCAGGCCCAGGGTAGGGGAATGAGGGAGCAGCTGCAGGAAGCCCAGTGGGACTTACCCCTCACACATCTGCCCCCAGTGATGTCATGGATAGATGTGTATGCTCGTGCCACCTGCCAGCCGCGGGAGGTGGTGGTGCCCCTGACTGTGGAGCTCATGGGCACTGTGGCCAAGCAACTGGTGCCCAGCTGCGTGACTGTGCAGCGCTGCGGCGGCTGCTGCCCTGACGACGGCCTGGAGTGCGTGCCCACCGGGCAGCACCAAGTCCGGATGCAGGTACTGGGGCATGCCCAGCTGGCGTGGATGCTGGCGCCGCTCTGAGGGCTGAGGGGTGGCAGCCGGAGTCCTGGCTGGTGGGCAGGCTCCTCCCCCTCCAGCCCACAGAGCATCCTTTCCTCTCTCTCTGTCATTGTCTCTCTCACTGTCTCTTTCTCTGTTGTCCCGAGCACAGATCCTCATGATCCGGTACCCGAGCAGCCAGCTGGGGGAGATGTCTCTGGAAGAACACAGCCAATGTGAATGCAGGTGCCAGCCAGGCCCCACTTCTGAGCTCACAGAGACCAGGCTCAGGGGGTTTTGGGCATGGTGGACCCTCAGTGGGGACCAGGTCTCCGAGAGTAGAGCCGGGAGAGGCCTGGAATCTGGGTCAAGAGAGTAGGTGCTTGGCTTTCCTGATTGTCCTTGTTGTCTTTGTCTCTTACTTTTCAGACCAAAAAAAAAAGAGAGTGCTGTGAAGCCGGACAGGTGAGTCTCTTGGGCTCCTGCTGAGGTGGGTTGGAGCCCAGGCCCAGCACCCAGCATGTAAGGTGTGGGTGGCGCAGGGGTGTGTCAGCAGCTGTGTCCCACCCTTCCCCTCCCACTGATGTCCTTCTCTCCCCTTCCTCTGCTGTGTGCTCGGACCCGACCCCAGCTCTCGGGAACATTCTTCCTTCCCGCCCCAGACATGTTGCTTCTCCTCCTAGGGCTTCCACTCCCCACCACCGTCCCCAGCCCCGCTCTGTTCCGGGCTGGGACTCTGCCCCCGGAGCACCCTCCCCAGCTGACATCACCCATCCCACTCCAGTCCCAGGCCCCTCTGCCCACGCTGCACCCAGCGCCGCCAGCGCCCTGACCCCCGGACCTGTCACTGCCGCTGCCGACGCCGCAGCTTCCTCCGTTGCCAAGGGCGGGGCTTAGAGCTCAACCCAGACACCTGCAGGTGAGGAGCTGGGGGAGAGTGAGTTGGTTAGGGAAGGCGTCAGGGCCCTGTCCTGGAGCAGGTCCAGGGCGATCCCACCAGTGGGAGAAGAGCCAGCGAGGGGGGAGCTGTTGAATGTGTTGAACAAATATTTACCAAGCATCTGCTGGCACTGGGATCAGCGCAGACAAGGCTCCCGTGCTGAGGCGGGAGTCAGACACGAGGACATGCGATGGCAGCAGAGGGTGGCAAGGGCTGTGGTAAGGGGCACCTGACAGCATCTTTGAGAGGCCAGAGATGTCCTGGAGGAGGTGACATTGGCCTGGAATAGAAATGAGAGAGGCAGCTTGCCAATTTGCAAAGCTCTGGGCCTTCCCAGAAGCCCCTGTGATAGACATTTGTCCCACCTTATGGGCTCGGAGAGGCCAGGGGACATAGTGGAACCTTGTCCGCCCTTGTCTGAGGTGCTTGTCACCACCCCGCCCTTCCACAGTGAGGCCATGGGGTGGCATCATGTGGGCCGGCCGGTTGGGGCCTCCCAGGAGTGTAAGGAGAGTGGGGTTTCCAGAAGCTAGCAAGGGCGGGGGGAGTCTAGAGGAGCTGGACAGAGCTCCGTCAGCATGAACAGACCCCTCTCCTCTCCTCCGCAGGTGCCGGAAGCTGCGAAGGTGACACATCGCTTTTCAGACTCAGCGGGGCCACTTGCCTCACAGGCCACACCCCAGAGGAGGACAAGAGGGCAGCCTGGTGTGACCGGCCCAGCCCACAAGACCTCAGCCTGGGCGGAAGCTGCTCCAGGCCCTGGGCTTCTCGAAGGGCTTTCCACTTGTCCCTATTTCTCCAAGGCTGCCACCCAACAGGGTGGACAGAGTGGGACGAGGAGACTTGGAGGCAGCAAGAGCGCTCACGTTCCCACTCGGGAGAGAATGGGGTCCCATCTCCGTTTTTAACCACCCTGTGCAAGTGAGCATCTTACAACTGGGTCTGCCCTCCCCTCGCTAAGAAGACCCCGATCCTCTGCACATCAAGGGAGTTGGGCTCTGGGACAAGAACTGTGACCCCCAACCCTGATAAAAGAGATGGAAGGAGCTGTCCCTGCCTGTGTCACTGTTTGTCACTGTCCAGGCTGGCTGGTTTGGACACCAATGTCTGCATCCCACTGCCTCCCAGACCCGGAGCTTGTCTGTCTTACTGATGGAGGAAATGAGGCCTGAGGCCACACACCAGGTCACAGCCAGAATCGTGCGTTCTTCATTCATGCTCTTCTTGCCAGGCCCCAGGGAGTCCCCGCCCCCTGCTATCACAAGGGTTCCTTTTGGAAGGAGACGGCCCCTTATGGCCAGTGAGCTTGAGGTGGGAGCTGGATCTGCTGAATGACCTTGGTTGTCACTGCCCCTCTCTCTGGGCCTCAGTTTCTCCCTGTGCACACGCGGGGAATGGATGATTGCTGTGGTCAGGGCCCTTGGGCTCCAGGGAAGTTTGAGTCTGTCTTCACATGACAGAAAAGAACACCCACCCTCCCTGCCCCCTGTAGCTTAACTCTAAAGTCACGGCTGCCCTGTCCCCACCTCATGCCCACCGCCCTGAAAGGGAAGGGCCGTGGCTGGCGGGTGTGGTTTGGGAGACAGCTCCCGCCGCCCCCAGCTTTTTCTCCATCTTCACCTTCCTGGTGTTGCCCTGCTGAGGCAGGACCTTCAGGGCAGAGGTCAACCCAAAGCGGCTACGCTAAGGGAGGCCTTCTCAGCTTGGAGAGTGTGGTCATGATCTTGTTGGGCCCCAGGCAGGAGTGGGGTTAAGCCAGAAGGGGCAATCTCTGACAGCGATGGCTATTTCCAGATCATCTCTCAGCCACGCTGTCAGTGAAAATGCCGCCGCCCAATCAGAGGGAGACAGGTGAGGGCCAGGGGGCCTGGCGCGCCCGCTTAGCCCTCATAGGCACCCCTCGCGGAGACCTCAGCCCGAGGTGGGCGCTGTGATGGTGTTCCTTTCTCAGTGGAGGAAACAGGCTCAGAAAGGCTGATGGCCCTGGGGGTTGACCTCAAGCCGGCCGTCTTCCCAACACTCAGATTTAGCTGCCTCCCAGCTGCGGGTTCATTACTCCGATGGACAGATGTTTATGGGCACTGCCGGGTGCGCGGGCGTCTGAACATCAGTCTGGTCGGGGAACAGGCCCGGCCCGACCGCTCCAGTCGTGACTCGGTGGTCAGCGCGGCGGCTCGGGCGGGCACGGATGCTGGGGGAGAGAAAGCGGGGAGAGCGTTCGCATGGGCCAGGGCCTGATGCGCATCATCCCCTCATCCCACGGGGGCCCTGCGTTACAGGGACGCCAAATGCCACCAGGCCAAGGAACGGGCTCAAGGTCACATAGCCAGTCAATGAGAGGCACCCCCCAAATTCCAGCCCAGGTCTCACTCTGAAGCCCGGGCTCTTTCCACAGCATCTAACTGGGGATGTGGATCCTGAAGCGGCTCAGGGGCAAACAGGAGGGCAGTGGGAGAGGAGGGGGGCGACGGAAAATGGCGTCTCGAGACCCCCTCTGGGAACTCGCGCCCTCCTGACCTTAAAGTCACGTCGACCGGAAGTGCCTTCGGCCCTTTCGGAAGTCACTTTCACCTAACTTCACGGACTACCGCGCCACCGGAAGGGACGCGTAGGTCACGTGGCGGCGTGGGAGGCGGAGCCAGCAAAGGAGCCGCCCCGGCGGGCGTGTGGCAGCGGGTTTCGCACGGTCCAATGAGGGCGGGCGGCGTGGCCCGGCCTGGTGGCGACGATGACGCGCCTGCGCAGAGGCGGCGGCGCGGCTGGGGTTGACTCCGGGGGCGCGGCGAGGAGGTGAGCGGGGGCCACAGCCCGGGCTGGGGGGAGCCGGGGTGCAAGGGGGCAGGCTGGATCAGGCCGGGCAGGAGCGGGCCGGGGCTCCGGGTGTCAACGAGGGATAGGTTACGAGGAAATTGGGGGTTGGGGTCGGAGCTGTCTGGGGATGCCGCAGGGGGAGGGTTCTCACTCCGCACGGGGCGGGGCCCCGGGACTCGGGGCGGGACGTGGAACGGAGGCGGGTGGGCCCTCTGAGCTGGTGCCAGTGGAAGGCGGAGCTCCGGGGCTGGGGGCGGGGCTAGGGCCGGTGGGGGGCGGGGCCTGGCCCTTGGAGGAGGAGCTGGAACAGGAGGAAGGCGGAGCCCCGGGTTTGGAGACCGAGGGGGACGGAGCCCAGACGCTGGGGGCGGGGCTTCAGCCGGTGAGTGGCGTGGCTACGGTTCAGGAAAGGGGGTCTAGTTCTGTCGAGGGCGGGGCTCCAGGGCAGGGGGCGGAACCACGCCCCCTAAAAGGCGGGGCCAAGGGGCCCAGTGAAGGGGTAGGTCCAGGTAATGGCCCTGGACGTCCACGCGGGGGCGGTCTCCGTGGTGGCCGGGCCTGGGGCCGCGGTAGGCCGAGAACTCCCCCGGGAGAGGTGGTGTGGGTGGAGCGGGCTCGGCGATCACCCGACGCGGGGCCAGTCTGGGTGCCCCGCAGACCCCCGAGGGCTCAGAGCTGGGGCGGCGCCCCGGGCGGAGGCTCAGGGCCGGCCTGGGGGGTACCCCCGGAGGACCGGGGCTCCCCTGAGCCGTCTAGCGGCGATGTGTGGGTGCCTCGGAGCCGGCCCCCTGCAGCGGCCGCAGAGGTGTGGGTGTGCTGGGCGGGGGGCAACTGGGTGTGGCGTGAGTGGGGTCGCCCAGTCGGGGCAACTGCTGTGCAGTCAGATAGGGTCTGGACTTTGCGTAAAGGGACGGGTGGGAATTGAAGAGCGGAATTGGGGACCGGGAGGGAAGGAAGGGCTGGGGGTGAGCCAAGGGGCGGGGCCCTGGCTGCTGTGGCCTCCCCTGACCCCCTCCCCCCGCTGCTGGGGTCCTCGGGCAAGCCCCCTTCTCACTGGACTGGTAAGTGTGGCCGGGGAGTCCCGGGGAGGGGGCGGTGACCCGGGACAAGGGGATCCCCAGGGGCAGGCAAGACATGTTGGGGGTGGAATCTTCCTGGTACCTGCCAGTATTCCATGCCTTCCCCGCCCTCTCCCCCCGTCGGTTGGTCGGTCGGGGTCTGTCCCCGCAGAGACATGAGGCTGAGCTGGGTCCTGACAGTACTGTCCATCTGCCTGAGCGCCCTGGCCACGGCCGCAGGGGCCGAGGGCAAACGGAAGCTGCAGATCGGAGTGAAGAAGCGGGTAGACCACTGTCCTATCAAATCGCGCAAGGGGGACGTGCTGCACATGCACTACACGGTGGGTGCGGGGGCGGAGCTTTGGGGGTGGGTGGGTCTTCTGGAGACCAGGGAGGACTTGGGAGCCAGGTTCCTCTGCCAACAAGGTGGGTGACCTTGGGCAAGTTCCCTGTCCCTTCTACACCAGTTTCCATGGTTTTACTTGCTTTTCCCTGTCTACTCGCTAGAGTGGCATCAGCAAGCAGTGACAATGTACTGTGAGCCACCCAAGGCTCTGTCCCCTTCTAGGACTATGGCTGCCAGTGCTATGGGGGGCCAGCTTGATGGAAAGAGCAGCTGGGGTAGGGGGAGTCCCAGGGAGGCCCCTCTTCCTCACTGGCCTTCCCACGATCCCACAGGGAAAGCTGGAAGATGGGACGGAGTTTGACAGCAGCCTGCCCCAGAACCAGCCCTTTGTGTTCTCCCTGGGCACGGGCCAGGTCATCAAGGGCTGGGACCAGGGGCTGCTGGGGTGAGTCGGGGGGCCATGGCTGTGGGCCAGGAGATGAACTGTGGGGGGCACACACCAGGTTTAAGGTGGGAGGCAGGGAGCCTGGTGCTGCCATGTGCTGAACACGTGTTGTCCTGCAGGATGTGTGAGGGGGAAAAGCGGAAGCTGGTGATCCCGTCAGAGCTGGGTAAGAGGCCCTTCCTGAGTGGGGATGGGGGAGTTCCGGGTTCAGGGTGTGTGTCTGGGGAAGGGTGAAGGTTAATTCAGCCTCCGCATTGGTCTGCACCCCATCCATTCATTACACTACATGCCTCTTCCAAGTCTGACTATGTCCAGCATGGGGGATGGGGCAAGACCCTTGGGGCACCCGCTCTGGTGCCCACCCTCTGCCCTCTCCCAGGCCTTTCACAGCCCCCTCCCATCTCCATTACACCATCTCCATTTCTGGCCTTGCTGAGCTGGGCAGAGGCCTGGCTTCAGCCCGGATGTCTGCGGAACGCCTCTTGGCCTGGCCACAGCTCACTTTGTTTCTCTCTGCATCTTTGACAGGGTACGGAGAGCGGGGAGCTCCCCCCAAGATTCCAGGTAATACTTCTTCCCACCTCCCGTCTCCCATGCCCATCCCGTCTCCCGGTGGCCCTGGTTCTCAGCCTGACCCCACTTCTCCCCTGCAGGTGGTGCAACCCTGGTGTTTGAAGTGGAGCTCCTCAAAATCGAGCGACGTTCAGAACTGTAGCCACACTGGGGAGGGGCAGCGGCGAGGCCCCCGTCAGGGACCAGACTGTTTAAAAAAACAAAAAAAAACTTAAAGCCCATCAAGTGAGCCTGTGTTTTGTGTGTGGGCCCTGAGAGACTTAGAAGCCACAGCTCCCGCCTCAGCACCGCCCCCATCCCCTCCTTTCCTGGCTGCAGAGCCTTGGGGTCGAGGCTCAGTGTCCTGGGGATCACCATGGCCAGGCCCTGGGTGGCATGGTGGCCTTGCCCGGGGGGGAAAGGAGTGTTCCTGCCCACCAGCAGCAATACCATTCCCCTCCAGCTCCCCAGCCGCTTCCAGCTCTTGGTCTGGGAGTAGCACTGGGCTATCGCCATGGCTACGTGGCCCTCAGGAAGGCTTGTGGTCACCTGGGGAGAGGCTGAGCTGGCAGTAGCTGTGGAGCAGTGTGTCCCCCCTCAAAGAGACCAGCCGAGCCTGTGAGCTGCACCAAAGGCATATCCTAGCTTTATTAAAGGGCCCGCGCTGCAGAGTCAATATAAAAACACAAAAAGTCCCATCAGTTTAATAACAATAAAAAACCCCAAAAATGGAAAACTGAGGGGGCAGGGAAGAGGCCCCTGGGCCAGGGGCACGGGGAGCCCTGCTCATGGCACCAGGCCTGGCCACGGGGCTCCCCGGTATTGCTGTTGCTATGAGGTCGAGGGGCAGCGATTGTCCTGTGGGAGCCACCGTTCCGCTGGGTCAGGGACCCTTACTTCTTCTGGGGTGTGCTCAGCTTCTGCATGCCCCGGATCTTGTCCAGCAGGCCAGAGATGAAGGCCTGGAGAGGAGGAAGGACATTAGGGAGACCAGACCCCAAGAAGACGGGAGCCCAGGCTGTCCTGTCAGCCCGCCCTGGGGGAAACCACTCACTCACCTCAGTGGGTTTGTAACAGTCAACCAGCAGCTCCTAGTGGGGGAATACGTATAACTGGTGAGTTCTCAGGAACAGGCCGAGAGTTTACCTGTACCCACTTCCACGGCACTGGGGCCACCCCGAGGCCCAGGGGAGCCACAGCCACTCAACAGCTAGCCGAGTACCATCAGCCCCATTCGACAGGTGGAAGCTGAGACCCAAGAAGACCTGGCTCCAGAGCCTTGCTTCCCCAAGGGGTACAGCCTCCAGGCAGCCCCCTACTCCCTGCTCCCTGACCTGGCCGCGCTGCCCCCCAGCCCCTCTCTCACCTTGACCCTGGCAGCCCGGGTATCGTCACTCTCCATGTCCAGGAGCTCGTCCACGTCGATCTCCAGCTCGGGGATCTCCTCTTCCTGGGGGGAGGGGGGAGGGTCTGAGAGGGGCTCTCCGGCCGGGGCCCCTGCCCTGCTACAGGGCGAGCCAGCCCTCTTTGCCCAGCAGACAGCAGCAGCTACTCCGAGGAGGAAAACAGCTCAGGCCCGTGCCAAGGCAAACTGCCCGATGCGGGGGGAGCTTCCTGTCCCTGCCAGTGGGCACCCTGGATGCCAGATGAGGCCAGACAGCTAGGGCTGGGGACCCTGGGCTGGGAGCCCTGCAGACGTGTCTCCCCAACTTCCGGGCCCCCCATCTCAACCAGAGCACAGGTGGGGCCAGCTGTCCCAGCTCATCACAGCCCCTTCCCTTCCCCCAAACACCTGTCACAGCTCCCCGGGAGTGAGGAGGAAGTGAAGGGTGAGGGGTCAGTGGGAAGGACCCAGGCCTGGTAAAGGGGGAACAAAGAGCCCACGCTTTGCTGAGGGAGGGGGTGCTTGCCACCCCTCCCCCCCAGGAAGCATCCATGGGTCTGGAGCCAGCGCATTCCACGGCTAGGCTAGGGTAGGCAGTGCGGGGCAAGCCCACTCCTCCGCCCTACCCCCCGGGGCCTGAGTCACCATTTGAGCAAGGAAGGAGTCATGGGGTGGAGAACCAGAACCCAGCGAGCGGGCTAGCCTGCCCCACGTCGGCCAAGATGGAGTTCCAGGCTAGCCCATTAGAATAACCCAGACCCTTTACAGTCCCCCCAACCAACCAGGGTAGCGCCTTTTAACCACTCTATGCTAGCAGGCACTAGGTAGACCTCTTTCCACGGCCAGCCCAGGCTAGCCCCATGCCTCCTGCCCAAGGCCGGGCAATCCTTTGAGGCTTCTAGAGGACCCCAAGCTTGACCAGGGTAGCGGCAGGAGGAAGGCAGAGTCCGAGACAGCGTAGAAGAGAGGAGTGACTTAGGTCAGACAAGAAAGAGCACACATTGGGGGCGGGGAGTACAGAGAGGAGGG